TTGGTGTAAAAGTATTTTAGACATTTGTTTGTTGAAATCAAATCTCTTACTTTTTTAAATAACTTTTTTTATATGCTTTTATATCAATTATTATCAATTTATTAATAATTATTGTCAAATAATTTTAGATATTTTGAGTTTGGCAGTTTCACGGCTTACTTTGAAAATGTTGCTCTTGGAAAACTGAAGCAAAATCTAGGAATCGAAGAAATTCTTCCATACTGCACTTTCACAATAAAAGATGTTGAAATGGAGATAGTACTTAAAAATGAAACCTTCTGCAACAGAGCTAAGAGTAGATTGTTTAAGCTAATATACAATTCATAGGGTGTATACATATATAGTGTATATATATACAGGGCCGGATTTAGCCTTTTGGGGGCCCTAGGCCAAAACATTTTTGAGGCCCCTGAAATAATTTAATTTTGGGAAGAAAAAAAATTTCATTTTTTTATTTAAAATTTTATTATTTAAACAAAACAGTGTGAATATTGAGAATTTAATGAAAAATAAATTTTACAACATTTTTGATTTTTCTACACATTATTTTTAGTTTTCAACTTTTTATGTTTATTAAATTTTGAGGCCCCCAAATACTGGGGGCCCTAGGCCGTGGTCTAGTCGGCCTATAGGTAAATCCGGCCTGTATATATATATATATATATATTATATATATATATATATATATATATATATATATATATATATATATATATATATATATATATATATATATATATATATATATATATATATATATGTATATATATATATACACACTACATATATATATATATATATATATATATATATATATATATATATATATATATATATATATATATATATATATATATATATATATATATACCATATATATGTACTTATATGTATGTGTTTGTATGTATCTATGTACCCATATATGTATGTACTTATATATATGCATTTATATGTATGTTTGTAATCAATATATCAATGCGTTATATTCATTATGATTCATCAGTATTAAAAATATTCTATTTTTTAGATAAAGATAGTAAAAGTCGTCTTCACAAAAATAGAAACTTCAATAGAATAATATATGATTGCAAGGGAGGGTTGAATGAAAGTTTAAAAAAGTTATCAATTGCATTGGATAAGAATAATTCGTGCGTTTGTTACCAGTTAATTACTGTTTGTCTTTTTAAAGATCAGTTGTGGGAAGGTAATAGCCAAGGAAACAAAAGGTAAATATAATTTGTTTTGTATGTATTAGGTTATATGTGTATATATAATTCATATATATATATATATATATATATATATATATATATATATATATATATATATATATATATATATATATATATTATGTTTCGAAAATAAAATAAAACTACACGGTTTTTACAACTTTAAGTTTCATGCTATTTCCATTCATCAGGTAAATTATAAGGTTTGTTGCCATTAAAATATTTATGTGTATATATATATATATATATATATATATATATATATATATATATATATATATATATATATATATATATATATATATATATAAAATGTATATATATATAATATATATATATATATATATATATATATATATTTGTATAAATAATGTATATATATGTATATATACATTATATATATATATATATATATATATATATATATATATATATATATATAATATAATAATATATATAATAGTATATGTATATATATATATATATATATATATATATATATATATATATATATATATATATATATATATATATATAAAATTTATTATATAATAAAATTAATATATTATATTATGTAATTAATTGAGCAAAACAGGGTAAAATAAAATAGCGGGTAGAATGAAATAGTTATGACAATGTTTATTTGCTTGAAAATTGTTTTTAAAACTCTTGCAAATTAAATTCGGTATCTCTGAACTTAAAATGTTTACTGGTACAACTTTTTACGCTGATCAAGAATCTTTTTTTAAAATTAAGTTTGGTATTTAGGAAAAAAGTTATGAGTTAAAACAAAGTGTTGTGGGGGAATGAAATACGTAAATAATAAGCGAAGCAATTGCTTACTTTTTAAAAGGGGCTTTTAACAAATCTCAAAAGTCTCAAGCAACCGAAATTCTTTTATATTTATTAAATTGATCGTTATTAACTCTATTCTAATATGAAATGATATGAATGAAATTTTTTCTTATTCGGTTGTTTTTTAATTGTTATTATAAACTGCTTTTTATTGGTTATTATTGGTTGCTTATTGTTTTTTTCAGAAAAGAGTTGTTTTATTTGTACAAAGATTTGCGTATATCATTCTCCCTGAATGACTGGATAGAATGGAATAATTTTTTTTTAATCTAATAAAGTTTTCTCTAAAATTAAATTTTTTTTTTTTTTAATTTTTATATATTCAAATACTGAGCTGTATTTAAATATTTAAGAATCAAAAAAAAAATTCTCAATAGTAGCTCAATATTCTCTACAACTTTAAATAATATTTTGAAAATATCTAGTTTCTGTAAAAAATAAATAATTAAAATTCTTTACTATTCCATATGACCCCATTATACTCTATATCATATAATATAATTAAATTTATAATTTTCTAGTTTTCCACTTATTTTAATGTAGTTTTTTTTTATAGTTTTTAGAACCTTTACCTATGATCTAAAAAAGGAGTAACATTGAGAACATTGATACTTATATACTTCATTTTTCCTTTAATTTTCTGAACTTTAAATTAACTTCAATTAGGTTTTTTGTTTGTCAACCTTCAGAAAAAGCTGAAGAGTGGGAAAACAGTCTTATGTTCCATCGGAGTAATCCTCAAGGAAACTCAAGCTATGGAAAATTATGGACTGCAATACAAGAAAATCCATCTTTAGAAAATCAATTCAGTCTTCTATCTGATCTTCCTAACCATCATAAATGGATGTGGGATAAACTGGTAAAAATTTTGAGATATGAGCTGAAGTTTTCAACTACTTGTCGATATTTTCCCGGATCACCCAGAAATCGAATTCTCCAGGCCTTTTTTTACCGAAATAATTATGTTAACATAAAAAGGTCGTGTTTAAAAAATATTTTTAACATAAAAGAGACGTTTAAGTATCCATCAAGTAAAGGAAACCTAGCTTTTAAATCATCAGTTGCAAAGAAGATTCGGTTGTCTTCTTTAGAGAGCATTGTTGACTGTGTAAGCTTTTTACTAGTTTTAACTTGTTATGTATTTTGATATCAACAGGAAATGTAATTTTATTTTGAATTTTAGTCTGATAATTCAAGTTGTGAAAAAAAAATTATTTCAGACAAAATTGAGCTCTCTGATTCAAGTAATGAGGTATGTTTAATAAAACTGAAAAGGCTTAATTAAATATTACAGAAAAGGCTTAATTAAATAACATAAAATATTATTTATTGTAATCAAAATTCGAAATCTCTTTATAAAACTTGATTTTTTATTTAATTAATAAAGGAAACATCAAACTTCAACTTTTGTGTCATAGGTTCATTTAGTTCAGCATTTAGGCAAAAAATGCAGCCTTTATGAGTATTTTTGTGCTGAACTATTCAATCGTGGGGTTCTTAGTTGGCGTATTCGTGGACCATCTTTAAGTATTTGTGTAATGAATAATTACAGTCATGAGAGTGGTAATTTTCAAGTATGTTCTTTCTACTTGTTGTTTACCTATTTTTCTTTTTTAGTTTATATTATTTAAATGATGCTTGTAATTTGAAAAAAGTATTTTATTATTGACTTTCTATTTAAGATTAAAAATTATTAAAAATTTTAATTAATCTTTATCCTTATTTAATAAAAACTTTTTTCATTAAATAAGGATAAAGATTTTGTTCATGTAAAAGCAGAAACCATCATTTCTTCTACTATTTATAACTGCTCTTGTAAAACCTTCTCAACCCTTATTGGTTTTCAATCAAAAGGCGTAACAAATGTCAACAACTGTTGTCATTGCAAATTGTTACACCAGCTACTTCAAATGTTAGACAACCCAGATTTTACCCCAGAAAATAATTTAATAAACAGAAAAAAACTGATGGAAAGTTTGTCTTGTGTGGCATCAAATGTTTTTCAGTTAGCTTCAAAATCTGGTGTAGAACGATATTCAGTAGTTTCTGATTCATGTGCATTTGTTACCGTTTTCCAACTATGCAGATCTTTGCGAAAAGTAGTAAAATGCCATGATTCGTTATGTCGAATATCTGAAGGATATACACGACAAGTTAACAATCTTGACAAAGGTATCTTGTGTCCGCATCTGAAAGTTTTTAGGGAGCATTTTTATCTCATTCAAAACACAAATGAGTGGATTAGCAATGACCAAGATGAATTTACCCTTGTTGACGAGTCGGAAGATAAAATGCAACTACCAAAAGAAAAGGTATTTTAGTACGTTTATACACACACACACACAAGTAGTGTGTATGTGTATATTTTGATTGAATTTTTTGTTTTTCATAGTGGGAGGATGTGTTTGATGTAGCATCTGGTTTGTGGACCTTTGGATTGAATGCGCCAAGCAAGAAGACTATTTCCTCTGATCAATTTAATGATAAATTTAGTAGTGATATTGTAAAAAGACAGTCTGCTTCAAATGGGTATCCTTTTATGCCTTCTGCTGATCTTGGGGTGTGTGAATGTGGTGTAAGAATATTTTTTTAAAGCCATTTGATATTTTTAGTTTTAATTTAGTCTTAGTGTAGAAGCTTCTTGGCAGTAATAAATTGATTTACTAACCAATAGACTATTAAATCATGATGATGATGATCATTTTTACTTCTTTAAAGGCTGGGTGGGTATCTGAATCTTTTTCAAATGGTGTTACTGAATTCTACCATAAAATCAATATGTACACCGACCGTGAAGTAGTTGAGTGTGATGTTTATTTGCGCAAATGTTTATCCAATAATTGCACTGCTTATTGGGATGGATGGGAAGACTCTGTTTTTTGTTTGTCTAAATCTACTTGTGCTGGTTACGAATTA